AGGGAAGGGTGGAAGAAGGGAGAGAGGGAGGGAAATGGCCAAGGCAAAAGAGAAAACTAGATTGGAAGGAAGAAAGAAGCAGAGGGAGAGAGGGAGGGAGGGAGAGGGAGAGAGGGAAGAAGGGAGAGGGACAGAGAAGTATCCTGCTGGTTCACTCTCCAATGCAGCACTGTCTGAGACAGGCCCAGTTTAAAGCCAAGAGCCACACATTCCTCTGGGTGTCCCACAGGGGTGTTAAGAAACCAAGGAATTGGGCTGTCACTGGCTGCTTCCTAGACATGTTTTCGCGAAGCTGGATTATAAGCAAGGTGGGACTGGATTCCAGGCTTTCAAAAATGGGATGACAGCATACCTCGTGTTTGCTTAATGTGCTGTGCCACAACACCCTCCTGGGGATTTATGTCAGTGTATGCATGATGAAATCATTATAATGAAGAGTTGTACGCTTTAGAAATGTTAATGTTGATTCTGATGATTCTTTTTCATTGTAAAGACTCATTTGTTTGAAAGACAGGATGTATATGAGAGAGAGAGAAAGGAGAGAGATCTTCTGTCCATTGGCTCATCTCCTCAATGGCCACAGAAGTCAGGATTAGGCCTGCGTGAAGGTAGGAGTTTGAATCGCCCTCTGTGTCTCCCGTGGAAAGACAGGGACCCAAATATTTGGACTGTCATCTTTGCTTTCCCAGGCATGTTAGCAGGAGTGGTAGCCAAAGCAAGGCAGCTGGGACTTGCCTCTGCACTCCTATCTGGGATCCTGATCATTTGAACCTGCTGTGTCACAATGCTTGCCCTCCAGGGACTCTTCTTATTGAAATGTTTCTCATTCTTTTGGATGTTGAGGTTTTGTGCAGTCCTTCACTTTGTTTCTAAGAAGACTCTTGGAGGGTTCATATAATTGGCAAAGCAACCACTTCTTCATCACATTATTTTTCACTACTGGTGAGGAAGGGATGAGAGTTAAATGGTTTCTAGCAAATAAAGAGGAATAAATGGAAGTTAACATGACCTGCTGTTGCTAACTTAAGACATGCATGTGCATTAGAGTTCTCTTTGAAAAAGACAAGTGTTTCTAATAAATTTCTTGTAATTTAAGTAAATGATCAAAGTTGATGTTTTAGAGGATTTACTTAGGTTTTTGGTTCATTCTATGGTCACCGGTGCTTCTTGGAGTTTTCTGTCACTGCGTTCTAGACCCCAAACCTTGGCCACTGTGTGTCCCCATCATTGGCTCGCCTGTGTGTTCCATGGCTGCTGAGCACCTGCTTCACCAGTCACAGTGTGGGTGCTAGACTCCATTCCCAGATCATTAAATGAGACACTTTTGGGAAAAAGGCCCTGCCATCTGTTTAGAAAAGACTTCTCAGTGAATCAGGTGCTCTCAAAGTTTCTGCACTACTCTCTTATGGAATACACATCATGCAGATGTTGACATAGAAATAGAGAATAAAATACAGACCCAATCAAGATGTCTTCATTATTCTGCAGTAATAATGAAGGCTTCACAACCATCTGAATTCTGTTGGAAATGAAAGAAGGCTGTGTGCTTCAACCATCAAATCTGCATGTGTGCTCAGACAAGAATATTCAAGATGTACATTGTAGGGCTACTTTGGTATGGGGAGATTATAGATACTTTTGACTAAGTGGAAGTTGGGAGAACTACATGGAATTAAAAATGGATGTTTTTGAATTTCTGGGTCAAATCCTGCCTTCCATGGCAATGATGCCAAGTTCTGGCTGATGTTGAAACGTCTGAAGTGGATATGGAGGTTGTAGGCAGGGAGCTGAGCTAGTGATCCTTTAACCAAGAAGCTGTGGTTGGAAGAGTGGGGTCAAGAAAATATCAAACAAAGGAGATTGGATTTTGAACGAGGTGAAGAAATAAGCTTGGAATGGAAGATTCTGCAATCTGTGGGGCAGACGACTAAAGCGTTCCGAAATACAAATTTGAGCAGCTTTACTCTTAAGTAGTTGATCCTCTGAGATTCTTACAGTGAATTGCCAACCAGTATTTTGAGTAGAATCTTGATGGTTGCTTCCATATCCAAGGAAGTGACTTGAGAATTCTGTTATGTCTGCGTGTGAATTTCATTCATCTCGCAGTAGGAATGTGTGCAGTATACAGTTTGCTGGAGGCTTTTATTTTGTCCACCTCTGGAAGAGAGGAACAGGTTGGAAAACGTTGCAACTTACAGGAAATATTTCTGTGAACTATTATGCATGAAATATCATAGGTGAATCCTGAAATAGTTTGAGAATTTTTTTCCAATAGAATATCAAATTTGTTTCCAACTCTTTCTTTTGACATTTAAATTTAAAGGTAATATAGAAATTTAAAAATTCTAGCTATCATTCCATGCAATGACACTTTTTAGGAAAGTTATTTTTCAAGCTACATGTCCAGAATATATGTCAAGAATATCAGAATAAAACAGGATGGCAGCTCCTCAAAGAAAAAAAGCAGCTTAGTACACTACAACTCAGCAGTGGCATTTCTGGGTTTATACTGAAAAAGACTGAAGGCAGAGATTTAAAAAGAATCTCTGTCTTCCTAATGGCCTATTCACAATTGCAAATTGAGGAAAACAAGCCAAATATCTATTGGTAGATAAATAGATCAACCCAACATGGTATATGCATAAAGTAGGATGTTCATTTATTCAATGCAATGCATTTGAAACATGCTTATATATATATGGATGAACTGAGAACATTAGACTCAATGAAATAAGACAGCCCAAAATGGGTATATGAATTTGGCTCTGCTTTTGTGAGTTACTCAGAATAAGCAAAGTTATGCAAAAAATAGAATGGTGTCGCATATGGCATTGTGGGGGTAGCAGGCTTAGCTGCCATTTGTAATGTAATCATTCCATCCCAGAATGCCAATTTGAATCTCAGCCTCGCTTCTTCTGATCCAGAGTCTGAATGTCGCACCTGGGAAGACAGTGGAAGCTGTCCCAAGTTCTTGGGTCTTTGCTCCCAGCTGGGAGACCCTGATGACATTGTTGGTTTGCCCTCACCCAGCCCTGGATATGGGGACTATTTGGAGAATGAATCTGCTGAAATATGATCTCTAGAAGTCTCTCCCTCTCTCTATCTCTCCATTGTCCTGTCTTTGCTTATTGTAGTTTTGATTATTTATTTCAAACAAGCAAAATATTGGAAAGGAAACTACAGCACCAGTACAAATATAACAGGAAGAGTGAAATAATACTAGCAATGTATGTAACAGGTGGACGTGGGTCAGGCTAAAGCCAGGAGCTGGGATTTGGTCCAAGTGACCCACATGGGTGGCAAGGATGCACGGGCTGCATCTCTACCTGCTGCCTCCCAGGGGGCACTCGGTATTCCTGTGGGGAGTGGGGCGCCAGGAGCAGATCCCAATCGTATGATTGGCCGTTGCAAGATGGCGGCTGGCCGAGGGCATTGGTCCCGCCAGTAGGCAAACAGGAAGTCATGGGGATAGGCTGATGCCCTCACTGCGATTATGTCATTGCTACTGGCCTATCAGGTAGCACCCAGTGGACCCACAGGGAGAAGTGATTGGTGGAGAGCTGTATATAAGCAGTCCGCTTTCGGCAATAAAGGGTTCGTGTTGTTCATTCGTTCATTGTGTCGTGTGTTCTGGTTGCGGTGGCGGTTCCTGTTTTTCCAAACCCTCGAGTGTGTGCCTCGTTATTTAATGTCGCTGCGGGTTGGCAATAGCTGCCCAAGTGGGAGTGGAGCTGGGACTTGAAGCCAGATACTCTGGGAAGGCAGGTGGGTGTTCCCAGCAGCATCTGTAGCACGAGGCCAGGCACCCTGCCACAGGTGGCGTTTATAGACTGGAGTTTCAGTTTGAGAAGATGAAAATGCTCTCAACCCCAGTCTACTATATGCTTGTGTCATGTATATTCTATTGCAATAAAAGAATACCAAGATATACCTTCATCTATGATAATAATAACAAACATTTTGTGGTAAACAATTGTCCAGGACTTTACCCAAATTATTTTACTTAACCCTGGCAACAGGCCGGGTGTGTTATTTCTTCTGTTGTGTGAAAGGAGGAGCTAAAAGGGAACAGAAAAGAATGTGAATCCCAGCAGACAGTTCCTAGAGCCAGGCTCCCAAGCTCTGTAGATGAAAAGTAAGATACAATTGCAGAATTCTAATTGCCTCTTCAGGTGCTAGTCTTACATGTTATTTTGATAACATAGAAGCTATACTATATGATAATTATAATAGGTATGAAAAATGTAAAATTATAGCCAAATTATGTATCTTTGAAAAATACAATTCCCACAAAGGTCTGAGTTTTTCTGCATTAAAAAAAATCTGTATCTGGTGACATATATTTTCTTGTCTAGGTAGTATATATTTCTGAAAATTTCTATGCATTTTACAAAGGTTTAATGTTACAAATACAATACATGCAACATTTATGGTATAACAGGTATATCTGTGATGTTTTATTTTAGCATTTGTGACGGTTCTGTGTATTTCTTTCCAAATACAGAGAAAATGGCCTTATTTACCGTTACCTTGGAAACAACAATGCCCAAATGCTGTGTTTATTCTCTTTAGCATAATTAAAAAATCATTTTAGGGAGAAAATGTAATTTTCCATATTATCCTCAAGCCTTAATTTTAATTAACGGTAGTCATTTGAAGTGTTCACTGATGGTGAATGTTTATTAAACTCGCATGAAAAACTAGATATAGATTTTTAGTAGAAAACATGTCCAATGCCTTTTAAAACTTGTCTTTATCAATAAATACACCACTGACCTTTCATTTATGAAGTTATATGCAAAGATTCTTATTACTGCTAAGTACTTCTTTTGCATCCAATAATCCTTTGAAGGTAAAAAATGCTAATTTTTAGAATTTTTTTCTTATGGAAGACTTCAAAGAAACTTACCAATTTTTATTTTTTAAGTGAATGCTGTACATGTCTTTCTGCAGTGATCAGTGTGGATGTACTCATTTTTTTGTTCTCGCTACATTTTCAGGACTCCACTATTGTGACTCCAATCATTTTGAGGACTGACCCTCAGGGATTTTTCTTTTACTGGACGGATCAAAATAAGGTAAAGAACAAAACTTGATCTTAAATTTTCCAGTTGTCTCATGATTTGCAAAGCAAGTAACTGTCTTATTCACACGCGTGTGCCCAAATCACAGATGAATTCCTAGGATTTTTGAAAAATTATACTCTTAAAGGTCAGTTTCATTTGAGGACATTGTAGGGATACCTGCTATAAGCACTGGATATACTAATTGCTAGAGTAATTGGTATTTTTCAGTTCTCCTGATGGTATTTGTTAGGACAAGAATGTGGAAATGTAAATTGCATCTGATGTGAATCAGCTAGCCAGGGGTACAGGTTTAAGTGAGGAAGGGGAGTGGCGATGTCACCTTGGAGTGCAGCGAACATCCCAATGCCTTGTTCTTTCTCGTGCTTCCTCCCTGTGCTCTTTAGCATGAGAGGAGTTTGGCTTTCATCATTTGCTCGTGTTAGATAATGACAGATCAGAGTCCCTTAATTTATTCCTGAAGTTTCCAGGAATCTCTCTCCAAACCAGCTTTCTGCTCACAACACTATAAATGCAGTATACCATTATTGTGAAATCAATGGAAGATTCCCTATTGAATTATTAACGGGCAGACTGTCTGGAGAGCACAACATTTATTTGGAGCTTTATGAACAGTTAGAGAGGCATACTCATACAAAATGGTTATTATTCCAAGAAACGTATGCATAGTTTCACACTTGAACCTGAAAGACTCCAGCATACAGAATACTTTGGTCTTGCATGTTCTTTTGGACATGCCAGAAAAAATTTAGAGTGTTCTGTTGATAGCGAAATCAATACACTAACCAGAGGTTGTAGTGAAATTTCCGAGGCTTCCATAATAACCTCTAGGGCCGAGGGTCGGTTCAAATGTTTACCTGTTTTGAAATGCTGCCTTGTGTCCCTATCTGCAAAGATGTTAGATCTGTCAGTCTTGCCTTCTGCCTTTGGGACTGGCTCATTGACCCCGTGAGCAGTGGTGTGGGGTTGAGCCATTTGAAGGGGTGGTGGGGTGCATCCTGTAAAGGGCCTACTTGCGTGTTCCCCAGAAGGCAAATCTCAGCTTTGTGGTCCTGGCATGATTTTTGTGAACCCTATCAGAGCATCTGCAAGCATCTCTGGCCACAGGTGTGTGTGTGGGAAAACCATAGACCCTCTCCTGCTGTCAAAGCTGCAGCAGAGCAAGAATTCATGCTTCATGTTCATGTTTATTACTGGGTGTGTTAATCATTTTGGCTTAGACATTCTGTTTGGTTTCCTGCTGTTATGCGTAAAACAATGGCTTAAAAGGGGTTTTTCTGTTTTGTTTTGTTTTTTTCTCCCTCCTCCTAGAAGCTATTTTTAGATCTGTTGAGGCTATATTCATGAAAGATGTATTTATAATGCCTACAGCATTTCTAAAGGTTGGGGATTTGTATGAGAGACCAGACTGTCAGTTCGATTCTTCAACTTGTAAATCAAACTTCTATAAAAGCTACAAAAGATATTTTGAGGGTTTTAAATAATTCATGGCAGCTCAGTTAAGCTCCCCTCAAAGAGGAATTGTAACTATTTCCTTGCTTAAGGAAGAGACAAGGTTTAGGACCTAAGGCTGTTTGAGGCTTGTCTGTTGTTCTGTGGACCCGGTATTTTCTGTTCATTTTTCACACTAGACATTTTCTTTTGGTTGTTTGTAATGCTGTGTATGGCCAATCGGGACAAACAATGGAGTTATCAGTCCCTGTTTATCTTCATAGTACCTTTTCCTGATTTATTCGTTTTATAGTTGTAGCCAAAATGTGATCCATTTTTCTTTGCCTCTTTAAAGTCCTACAGCATTCCTCTGTCATTTATCAGAGTTCAGAAGCTCACTTTTTAGTCAGTGATCATATGTCTTATGATCCAGAAGATGAGAGAACTTAAGAAAAATAATTAGATTCACTGTGCTTTCAAGTTTTCTGTCTTCTTTCTGGCTTGAAGCCTGATCTTGGAAACATAACAAATGGTGCATCGACTTTTAAGAGATGGACTGCTGTAAAAGAGGCATTGCATTACACTTGAAGAAGTGGTGGATACAGACGAAGGCTGGCATGCCAGGCTTGTAGATGAGGCTTTCACCCACAACCCTTACATGGCTGAATGTCACAATCATGATGTGCCATCCAGTAAAGAATTCTTTGTCTCAGTTGCTAGTCTAAAGTGATCTCTCATTTGTATGAGAGGACTTCCAAAACTTCATGAAATATTGAAATTAAATAGGAAGTGCAGGGTGGCTGTTTGCCTTCACAGCTCAGACGCCCGCATACAACATTGGCGTATGTGTGTTTCGTGCCCCGCCCTGGGTCCTTACTCCTGCTGCCTGCTGCCCATCCTAGGAGGCGATGATGACGGCTCCTGCAGGTGGCTTCCCTCGACTCCTGTGGGAGACCCGCATTGAGGCCTCAGTCGCACGCTTTGGTCTGGCTCATTGCTGGCACTTTCAGGCATCTGGAAGGTGAACCAGGGAATCAAAGTTCTCTCTCTCTTTCTCTAGTAGGTAATCAAAAGAAATAGTAAATAGGAAAAGTTATTTTTTTGACCAAAAATTTTTGCAAATCCATGCATGGCTTTTCCATCCACATTTTCCAACACTGTTTGAAGACCTGGTGTATCATAGAGATCACATCAGAGAAGAAATGTGATACTTGTAGATTTGTTGATTTCATATATCATTTTCTGTTAGAAGTGAAGGTTTCTTAGGTATTTATGGTAATTCACTTCCCTTCTCCTTCTGGCTGTTTTTCCTGTAAGTTTTCCCTTTGGTCCATGATGCTCACAGGTGAACTGCAAGGAACCCCCAGGAGCCTTAGGACCACAGTGCCATCTTCTTGGAAAAATGTCATCTTTCCCAGTGTCACCCCACTGCCCCCAACCCCTGTGTCCTTCTCTGTTCATGCCTATAGCGTACCATGCACCAGGGCCACAGGTTCTAAGTCGCTGTCTCTTGCAAAGCTCTCCTTTCCTTTGAAATCACAGACATGGTAGGTGACAAAAATGTAGACCACATGGGAAGGAGTTCATCATTGAGAACAAGAGTCTTCAAGTCATTTTTAGGTAGGAAATTGCGCCTCCCTGAAATGTGGAGCAGGTTTGAGCTTGATGGAACAGACTGTTATGAATATCATTCTTAGGGATTAATACCCAGACTTCATACCCATTCTGGGCTTCTTGTAAAGATTTTTTTTTTTTTCTGCTGTGTGGTTGGCTCTGAAAAAAAAATCAGATATAATTAGGAAAAGCAAGATTCTGCATGCGACTATTTTCAGATGATGGTTTTCCTGGGGTGATGAAGCTGATGACAAGAGACTGAGTGTGGGGGAGAGGGAGCCCCGGCACAGCACACCTCAGTACTTGCAGGCTGCCTGTGTGAGGCTCTGACTCTTCATCGGGTCTATGCCACATGGGCACTGGAAACCAAAACAGGAAGTGTTAGCTGTGAAAATCTTGTGAGCTACAGGAGTCCACATCGTAATTTTGAAGGAAAGGTGAAACAAGAATTTAAAAAAGAAAAAAAAAAACAAGGGAGGAGTTAAAAATAAAGAAGTTTACCAAATGCACCCTGCTAGAGTATCAGGCCACAGAGGAGCCCTCTGCCGTGGAACCCGATGCCCTGCATGAGCGCCAAAGCTGGTGTAAAAATAACAGCAGCCATGAGCAGGTCGGATCCAGGAGTTGAGTGTCACTCAGTTAGCTCTTCCTTGTATTCCCGGGGAGGGCAAAGGGGCAGAGAGGAATGGCAGAGGAACACATTTGAAAAGGACTCCTATATACTCAATTTCTGGTGGCACATTTCATTTATTTTTAACTTTGCAGACCAAAAATGTATTCTGTTTCGAAGATAGCAGAGCAGTAGCAATATCCTTAAGTTTTAGCCTCCTTTGTGTCTACATAAATGTAATTTTCGGAGAATTTACATTTTCATGATGTTTACTGGATCTCATGGTAATGGATATATGACTGTGTGTTCTGGACATATTCCTTTTATTTTGTTTGTGTCATGTATCAGCCTAAACAATCTCATTATTACTGTTTACAACTTCTCACTTTATGGTATGTCTCAGAGAACTCTTCATTTAAGTACATTCTGTGTATGCCTCATCCTTTTAAATTGTTCTGACGTATCCCAAAGGATGAATTATCAAGTTATATTTACTGAAAAGAATATCACAGATGGATCTTGGAGTTTATTTATTTTTGCCCTAGGAGTTGTGGGAAGCAATCCCACAAAGCAGGGCAGTGGTAAGCCTGTGTATTCCACTCTGGGTATATGGGTCACTGACTCCCGAAGGGAGGTGCTTGGAAGTGCAGCTGCTGATTTGAAAACTATACATACCAAATCTCAGTTCATGACTGTGCCGTTTTTGACAACCCCACTCGTCTTGGGTTAGGGGAATCGTTTTCTCTGTTAGGGAACATTTTTAATTGCTGCGAATGCATTGTAGCCATCTTATCTCAGATTTAATTTGCCATGTCTTGTGCACTGTTAAAGTGGATGTCTTCCTGTTCATTTTCTGATCATTTTTTCCCCTCTTCTCTATAGCTTGCCTTTCTGGGTATTGTTCTCTATGTGTACCAGAAGTTAATCCTTTTATGATTGTTATCATTGTTATAAATGCTACCAATGCTTTCTTCTTTTCAATGAAGATCTTTAATATTTATCCACATAGAATTTACTCAGGAGAAAACATAAATGAAAACTTTGAAGTTTGCTGTGGTCACGGTTAACTCCTTACTCCTTTTGCGTTATTTACAACCTTCCCCGTATATCCTCCTGGTCATCATCACCCTGACTAATCTGGATTTTTGATCCATGTAGCAGTGCACTGTGTCTGAGATCTGTCAGGAGGTGCAGCTCTACATTGATTTTCTTCAATTGGGTGCTTGTGGAAGTCCGTGGCTCCTTGTTCTTTCTGCTTGTCGCTGCTAGGAAGGTCCTCTCTCTCTGCTTTAGAGGGAGCAGGGTGTGGAAGGTGGGAGCTGCCATGGCAGGGGGACTC